CACTTGTTTGGGCCTATTTATCCCTTTCTTTCATAATCGTGAACCATGACCTACATTACGTGCCTTAAAAGTCTCTTCTAATCATATATGGATTTCTAAACATAAGAGACTATCTTCAGATTTCATCCCGCCCATCAGGATTAATCTTTTATTTACAAAAGATTTTCTAAAATCTTTAATGCATGATAAATGAAAAAAATTAACAAAGGCAGGTTCAATATGTAAATTCTGAATAACGTTTTGAAACCAAAGGAGAATTCGAGTTGAAAACCTGAAAAGGTGACTCGAATATAAAAACTGTGCAGTTGTTGTATAGAAGGCGATATCACAAATCCCTTGATAAGGCATCGCACAACCTGAGTGTGATCATAAAAGCTGGGAGGCGGAGAACACTTCCAGTAGATAAGCATAGAATCTACTCCATCCTATCAGTGAACATCCAAGAAATGAGAATGTCAAATCTTTAACCAAAGACAACTACCCGAGACACATTATCCCTTCCTTACTTAACTATACCTCCAAGATAGCATTAATCTTGATACTTTTCAAATAGCTATAATTTATTTTGAAGGATTAAAAGTGTAATTAATTATTTGATATCCAATGAACTCTTGTTTTATGATTTACCTCGATTGTAAAACCTAAAAAGGGGTAATATTTTCAAACTTTCGATTAAACATTTTTCAACATCCTTTTAATTGATATTTTCAGACTTTTGGAAATAAAAGAAGAAGAAAAACGTTTTTCAAACAAGACAATCTCTCTGGAGTGGATCTTGTTAGTTGACATGTGGCTCTCAGACACAAAGCTCATGCTTAGAATCAGTGCTGAAGCAAGAAATGATGAATGATGGGGCATCTTTAGAGATTCAACATCGAATGTTGGGGCATCTTTGGAGATTGAATATCCTAAAGTGAACAATCAGATCTTCTGAAGGCCTTTCCTCTACATGCATGAACAAGTAGATTATTTTTCGCCTTTAAGATTGCTTCTCTCGAAACAAAGCGTCGTCTCGCTAGAGATAGTTTTTCTAAAAAATACATTTAATCTCGCTTGAGACATTTTTCTTCAAAAACAAGTTTTGTCTCGCTTGAGACAATTTCTCTCAAAACAAATTTCGTCTCGCTTAAGACATTTTTCTTTAAGACAAATTTCAAAATTGTTTCCCTTGAAACAAGTTTCGTCTCCTTTGAGACAGTTTCTCTTAAAACAAATCTTTGAGTCTGGTTCCTTCGAAACAAATTTTGTCTCCCTTGAGACAGATTTTCTTGAAACACAAATGTTGAGTCTGTTTCCCTTGAAACAAGTTTCGTTTCTCTTGAGACAGTTTCTCTTGAAACATCATCTTTGAGATCGTTTCCCTTGAAACAAATTTTGTCTCTCTTAAGACAGTTTCTCTTGAAATATTATCCCTAAAGATGGCCAGTCATCCTCATCACATAGGAACCGTGTCATCCACCGACCAAACCTCCTCATCACGTAAGAGTTGTGTCACCCTTAGATAATCAGTCGTCCTCATCACGTAAAAATCGTGTTATCATCCCTAAAGATGGCCTACCATCCTCATCACGTAGGAATCGTGTCATCCACCAACATGACCTCCTCATCACGTAGGAGTCGTGTCACCCCTAGATAACCAATCGTCTTCATCACGTATGAATCGTATTATCACCATTCCTAAATATGGTCAGTCGTCCTCATCGCGTAGGAATCGTGTCATCCACCGACCAAATCTCCTCATCACGTAGGAGCAGTGTCACCCTTAGACAACCATAATTCTTCATCACGTATGAGCAGTGTCGTCCCCAACAACAAACATATCCAATTTCAAAATCAAAAAGAGAACCAGACAAAAAACTTGTTGTTTTTTTTTCGTCTTTTCCCTATTCTTATTAACACATGAATGTGCAAAGAGTGACAGTTGTAAACACTCGTTTTTGTCTGACTCTAAAAAATTATTATTATTATTATTATTATTAACTTAATTATATTTTGCAAGCTTACTTTGTGGCCTAGTTTACAAAAAAAAACCCGAAGCCCAATGAGCCCAGCAAACCAGATTACCAGCTAACCCATTACAAGGCCACTCAACAGCCCAACAAATAAACCCAGATCCAATAGCAGGTAATCTAACAAGCCCAGCAGACTACAAACCCAACAGTCGATCCAAACCGGCCCAAAGAGAGAACCTGACCCAAGCCCAACTAAAGAACCTGGCACATTAAGGTTTCTTCTCTACAGCTACCGCCGTCGTCAGCAGAATCCAAACCGTTCATCACCTGCGCATGTGATACACGCGCCCGACTTTTCGACTTCCTGACGAGCGTGAGCTACATTGGTTTTCTCCCCATTCGCACACTGTCGCCATCGTCATTAATAGAAGACATACAGTGAACAAATCAGTCAATAACAGTGAACCTAAATTGAAAACCCATTAAAAACAAAATAAATCCCAAAAAAGCGGGATTTCATCACTTAAAAATCATAAAATTATTTCCCTACGTTATACCTCATCATCTCATCCAAAAATAACTGATTACATCAACATGCAACAAAGAGGGAGGGGGATCATTTTTCAGGGAAGAAAGAAAAAAAGAAAAAAAATAGAGAGCCTAGAAACGAAAAAAACAAAAAAAAAATAGAGAAACCTTACATTTCCTTGCCTTCGTGGTCAAGGCTCTCATTAGAATGGAGGAAAAGCTTCACCAAAGGTTAAAAAAGGTTATCGGTTATTGTGTGTATTAATTTAGGGTTGTGAGGGGTCTAGGGTGAGGTTTAGAACGAGGAGAAAAGAGAGAGGGAAGGCCAAGAGATATTTCTTCTTCAGTTTCCCACCTCATCGTCGTCGCCTTATGGCGGTCACGACCTTTTTTGAGTATCCTCACGACGGAGGAATAGAGAGGGGGAGGAGAGTTGAGAGAGTTTTTCTCTCTTTCTCTGTTTTGGGTTTAAACCGAGAAAATGAAGTGAAATAGGGAGAAATGCCTCTGTTTTAGGTATATATTACTTAATTGAAACCACGTCGTTTAACAAGGAGGTTTAGCATGTTTTCGCGTTTGGTCTATTAGCTATTTTAGTCATTCACCTCTTGTAATCTTTCCCCCATGTTTTTTTTAAATTTTTGGGTAAATCACACTTTAGGTCCTCTTCATTTGTAATGTTCACATTTCAGTCGTTTAATGAAATTACATCCTTTTATTTCGAGGTTTTTATATGTTTTGTATTTCATTTTAGTCCTATCTCTTAGAATTTTATATGTAAAATATTCAGATTTTGGATGTTAATTTTGTGTAGTTTCATTTTGGCCCTCATTTATTGATTTATGTTTGTTTCATTTTGGATCCAATATTTATTTACATTTCATTATGGCCACTATTTGTTCATTAATATGTTTTGGATTTTTATTTGGTTTTGAGCCTTGGTTTGTGGTTTATTTCATTTTTGTCACTCTTTATTTGCCTAAGAAATTGTTTCATACTTTATGTTTTATGTTCCAGATTAGCATTATGTTCGTTTTAGTTACTGCATTTAGTGTTCTAAAGCTTGGGGATTATTTCCCCTTAGGTCCTTACTATTTTGTTTTGTTAAAGTTATTGTATAATTTGATGTTTATTTTTTTCATTTTTCCCATGAATGTATATTTATATTTTATATTATATTATATCATATCATATCGTATCGTATCGTATCGTATCGTATCGTATCGTATCGTATCGTATGTGTGTAGATATATTTATTTAATATTTCTTATCCTTTGGATATTTATATTAGTGTTTATTTTTTTTATCTTATTTAATTATTTCATTTTATAAAATGTCTAATTGTCAATATTTTTTTATACTTGATGTTAATATTTTTAAATATTTCTTCAAATATTTTTTAAGAACATCGATTTGTAGAATGGGCGTGGAAAGTACCACTTGATTGAAGTGTTGCAATCCGATACGACGTTCGAACGAAATGAGAACTTGAAATAAATCTAGTTATTCTACTAATTAAATCTTTTTATTTCAAATGATCCAATGTGTTTTTTTAGTACTTTATTTTAGTAAATGACGATATGCAATTTATATTCAATTAGCGTTTTTTCAAAAATAGAATATTCTTTTACGAATGAGAAATAGTTGAAATAGCTTTCCCGACGGAGGATTGTAAATTTCAAGATTTCTTATCAAGTAAAAGGATTTTCTTTAAATAATTAATTCAAAACAAATTAATTAAACTTTAATAAATAGATCATATTTTAAGTCTATATTCGATTTATAATTTCCACCATTACGACAACGTGTAAGCGATCAAGTACCAATTTTGGGCGCTGTGGGGAGCTAATCCTTCCCCACGCGTAACCGACTCTCAAACCCGTTAAAATAAATCTTTGATAACGCAGACAAATTTTTGTCTTAAAACGATTTTTTTCTTAAAAAATTATTCTAAAAGACGTTTTTAGGTATTCCACCTACCTAGCCCAAAGGTCGATGGCGACTACTTTCCATTTTATACAAATAAATTCAAAACCACCAATTTTTCAAAATAAAAGCCATAATTATTTTGTTTTAAATAATATTTTTTTCAAAAAAATTGTTATGACAGGTACCATTCATGTTTATATGTTAATTCATGAATTACTTAGATGTTAGATGTTTTTATTTAGTGATGAATTTATAATTTCAAAATAAATAAAAAACTATAAAGAATTTATGAATTCAACAAATTCATACTTTTGGAAGTATTTAATATTGAAATTCAATAAATTTATTCATAGCGCAAACCTGTACTTATACAACTCATATGGTACATGATAATCAAATTTAAAATTTAATTCAATAAGTTATGAGCATATACAAAAATCAACCTTGAAAAGTGATGAAAAAGTTCATGATTTCTATAGAAGCAAAAAGGGTTTGCAGTTTCATCAATATCTTGTGTATACAAGCTATGTAGCATACATAACCATGCCTTCTTTCTAGATAAATCCTAGATTGTTTCATAGAATTTCATAAATATATGTTATGTCAAACGATGCAGTACTGGCAACAGTATCACCTATCAAAATGTTGGAGTTAGTTCTTCTTTTCCTTTTTATCTTTACAATGTATTCATGCAAGTGATGAGTGTTTTATAGACATGGCGAAAGGAACATCAGTCCGAGGAGCTTCCCCGGGACAAGAAATCGAAGAAGGCAGTCCCGGTCTTTGTGTGCTGTTGCATTGCTTGTTGATTTACTTCATCTTCGTCTCTCCTGCTGTTGTCTGTCACTTCACTTCTATTGGAATCCGTATTCACTTGAAGGAAATCATAGAATTCAATTGCCTGCTTTTTCTGATCTGCATGTACCATGTTTGATACGTTGATTACTTATTTGTAAAAGAATATGCATGCGTATATATATATTTTTGAAACATAATATGTATGTGTGTATATATATAAGGTAAGGATCCGTTTATACAATGAAAACTCTTTAGTTTTACACAGATTTAGGATAATTGGATGAATGAAAATAGATGATTAAGATTGACTCTTTTTATTCAGTTAATATATTCATATTTCTTACTGTTAATTTCAATAATATATTTTTACTCATCCGATGATCCTAAATTTACGTAAAACTAAAAATGTAACATGATCCTATCCCATTAATATATATATAATTTTAAATACACATATAATATACTATGAACAATGATAATAGAAATGATGTAAAACAAAAGAGAAGATACCAAAATATAACCTATATGATAAAAACTATGAACAAAGGAGAAATTTGGGTCACAAAATCTAACAAATACCTTGACTTATTGCAACACAATGAGTCGGATCCAGAGGTGAACAAGTGTGGTGAGGGAACCCTTGGTTGAACTTGTAAAAAGGTGGGGGAAAACCAAGGGTTATCTGAGGCTGAGAAGGGTTTTGGTGATGATAGGGAAGTGATGTTTTAGCATAGGGAGTGAATCGTTGTCGGCATCTACGAGCCATGATAACATGCCAATGATTCTTCACAGCGTTATCAGTTCGACCGGGAAAGAGCCTAGCAATCACAGCCCATCGGTTGCCATGGATCCTATGAGCAGTCAACAACCGCTCTTCCTCCTCTTCCGTGAAAGGGCTCCGGTTGATCCTCGGATCCAACTGGTTAAACCATCTCAGCCTACAGCTTTTCCCTGATAAATCAGTCAAAATCCAAATAAGATATTCGCATGCATGTTTCAATACAAACCCTAGCTAGGTAGCTTCTCAAAAAAGTGAAACAAAGTACCAGATCTCCCTTGAATCTTTTCGGCTATGGCGTTCCAATTATGAGGACCGTAGCGTTCCACCAACTCACAAAGCCTTTCATCTTCTGCCGGCCTCCAATGACCTCTGCTGCTCATGACACGTTTCTGCCGATGATCTGATCTTTCACTTGAAGAAAATTAAAAGGGGAAATGAAGTCAGATCAGATGGTAGAAAGTAGATGAAACATATATATATATATAGATGGGAAATTGTTTTCCGTTAGAGATTTGGAGCAGTAGCGGTGATTGATGACAACGTTTTGGCTAACGAACGCTTTTACATTAGGGTTTGAGTAATCCATCAACTTTTTATAACACACACAAATGGAAAGGGAAAGAGAGGTTGCTTGGTGGGCTGAATTCCGTTTACCTTTCAACGTCTTTCCAAGTTTCTAACCTACAACCTCTACTTATAACCCACCTATCTACCATTACATGATCATACAAACTTACCCGTTTTCCCTTCATTTCCAAACTAATATCCCATTCAGCTAACCACACTTTGTCTAAATAATCTTGGTTCTAATTAGGTATGAATATGTTTTCATTATAAGTATGATCATGCTTCTAATTATTTCACGTGTGATTGCATGCAACCATAAAGATAATCAATTTATATTAGTTTTTTTTTAACTTATCAATTTATATAATAAAATAAAATAAAAATATGAATTTGATATTATTTTCGGTTGGGTGTACGTGATGGGGTTGTGAAGTAATGCAAGTATTCGGGGGATTTTAGGTTATTGTTAGGCTTTCGGACCTAACTAACATTAACAGCTTAATAGCTTAAAATTGGGACGTGTATGAATAACAAATTAAGCCCTTTTTTTAAAAAACAGTCAAACACCCGCTGACCTTCTCTATCTCCCTTTGAATAAAATTCCTCTATGAGTGACACATTGATTATTTCAACCAAATTTCAGATTCCATGAATTCCTCTGAATTGTAACATGAATGTTATGACTTAACTCGATTCATCGGATCGTGCTCTAAATATATAACATTGTGTATTTTTATATTATTATATAATGTAATCTGTACAATCACAAAATATATTTTGAGAAATATAATTTAATTAAATGTCGTTTTATATCTTAAAAAGTTAATTATCGTCAAAGATGTTACTAAAAGAATAATTTTAAAATAACAAGTAAAGATTATGCTTTAGGAACTCATAAATTGCCCCACATGTTTTAGAAGCAGAATTTGGGGTTGTAATGTGAGGAACCAGATGGCAAGTAAAATTGATTTAGCCGAAAACCAAAGTAGGGGATTGATGTGCTGTTGGTTTGATTGTTGGCCTAACAATGTGCAAGTTGGAGAAATGTTTTCGCTTGTTTAAAAAGTGAAGCCAAAATCCATCTTCCATCTATCGTCATTCACCCACCAACCCCTACAGCTAACCTTATAAATATACACGCATGTATTCAATTTAAATTTTAATTTATATAAATTATCAAACGTACATAGAAAATATATTATATTTAAAAAAATTAAAAAGTTATGGTCTCATCAAATATAACTTAACTTTCACCCACATGTGTAGCTATGTCCTCCCTGAAGGGTCTATAGTTAAGGGTGCGTATTAAGTGAGTCGATGGTGAATTAGACAGTGCTCGTTAAAAAATTAAAAGTATAAATATTCAAATCATACGATGATGTTGGTTTAATTTGGTTCATGGTCTTAGTTTTCGAAGTTAGAACTCGTTAAAGTATAACAATAGTTACGATTAGTATATATTAGAATCGATGAGTATAGACACAAAATTATATAATTAATTTTACAGATATATTTCAATTCAAACTCAATCGATTAACACTAATTAAAGAATTAGCATATAATTTACAGAGGATTAGACTGAGTTGCAAGAGACCTAGAGACTTTGTATATAATTAGACAACAATACACCACAAAAGAAACTTACTCACATGGCAAGTGAAACGTGAAAAAATTAACTTATATAACGAGTGTCTCTAAATAATATTTTTTTATTTAAATTCGTCACGCCAATGTGATAAGTTTTAATTCGCTATAACAAATGTAGTGGGTTCTAAATTGATTTTAAAGATAACTTAATGGGTCAATTTTTATTTGCTTAATTTATTGGGCCAATTTTGCGAATAAAACGTAGCATATTATGAAAACACAAAACATAAAGAGGGTTGGGTTTTGGTTTCATGCTGGATTTGTAAGGAAACAGCCATGTCTTGAGACCATTGAAACAAAAACTGGGATTTGGGTTTTTAGTTTATTTAGCCCAATGAAGAAGGCGACCTCCATCAACTATATTTGGTAACTGTTCAAACCTTGATCTCCACTTTAAAAGGGTGTTCGAGTTTGATAGCTTAGGTCAAGGCTAATGGCAACTAGGGTAAATAATTTAAGCATATCACGTCATTTTAAATTATTACATAAAATTTTAAATTAATATAATAAATTAATATCAAACCATTAATAAGTAAAAAAAAGGAGTAATTATCATGATGTATATATACTTGTCATTATCTCAAGATATTATGTGTTAAAACTCATTGAGTAGTATCAATGATAGAAGAATGTGTTGTTTTTCTTAAAGTTTCAGATTCGAATAGTTGTATTTGCATAATAGGTATATATCATTATAAATTAATAAAAATAGTCAAGAACGCAAATGGTCATTTGACTATAGGGTATTACTCTGACTATGAAAAGTTACATAATGATCATTCGACTATGGAGTATTGTTTTGTTGAGTCCATCGACTATTAAAAGTTTCAAAATAGTCACCTGACAATTTATTATGTTCCAGACTCATCCTTTTTCATTAAAAATTGACGGTTGTTTAAACTAGACGTTAATATGATGATTAAGATATGATAGTTGTTTGAAATTTTGGGATCAAATTTTATCATATTACATTCAATCATTTCTAATGGAAATTGACGAGTTTATAACATAATGAATGGTCGGATGACCATTTTGTAGTTTTTAATAATCAAGGGACTCAACAAAATAATATCTCATAATTGAAAGAATATTTTATAACTTTTAATAATAAATGAAGTAATATTATATAATCAAATATCATTTACGTTCTTTACCCTAAAATCACTTGTAGTCTAATATAGGGGTGTTCATTTTTTAGTTTTAACCGAATTAACCGACTGAACCTGGTTAATTCGGTCGGCCACCGAATTAGTTCAGTCGGAAACATTTAATAATTTTTTTAGAATTCGATTAACGGTTAATTCGGTTCGAAATCAGTTAATTAACCGAATTAACTGAAATTAAATTTTAAATATTAAATATATTATAACATATGAGTTTAGCCAAAACCATTTAAAATCTAATTAATAATTTAAGATCCGATAACTTTTAAACCTAAATCAATATTAATTAATTGAAAAAATCCATATAAAATTGTTATTTTATAATTATATATTATTTAAATTAATTGTAAACTGTTTTTTGAATTTAAAAAATCTAATTTTTTATATAAATTAGAAAATTTTAAAAATTTTCGGTTAATTTAAAAATTAACTGAATTAACCGAAATTTATTCGATTCGGTTAATATTTTTTTAAAAAAAAAGTTTGATTCAATTAATGATTAAAAAAAAAATTTAATTAATACAATTAATAATAATTCGATTCGGTCTTCCTCCGTTTTACCGGAATGAACACCACTCCGATATCTAAAGTTGCCAACATCAGTTTTGCCGACGAAGATGGTATTGGTTGGATTCCTTTCGGGCCACACACGCTCGACAGTTGAAAAAGACAGCGCACATGGCATGTATTGTTGATAATGTTCCACACAGGGGTCACTAACCGTAATATCCTCATGATTTCATTTCACTACTCCACCACCCGAATATTTATTTATTAAAATAAAAGATGTTTATTCTTTATTGAGCTTACGATTATATATTTGTCTGTGGACCACTATGAGTAATAATTTGAATATTTGTTTTGTTTTTAAGATATAATTAATACATGAGTATTCAAACTATATTTTTATTTAAGTGATTAGATTTTTTAACTAAAATAAATATCTAATAGCTATTTCGTTTTTATGTTCAAATAGATTTCTTACGTCTGTTACAAGTAAATTTTATATAATATTCATGAGTGCTCTAAGTCTTTCAATTTCTTTTTGGCAAGAAGGTTGTTTTATCTTTGTAGTAAATTTAATTTATTATTTTTGTCTCTATCATATTTTCGCATCAATTTAATTTTTAAAGTTGTCTGATTGCATCATTATATACCCTATCATAACTTAAAACCCTAAATTATAAACCATAAAATATAACTCTATAACCTCTAAATCATAAACCTTAAACCTAGTTTAAAATTTAAAATTTATGATTTTAAGTTAGGGTTAAGATATTAAATGATGCAAATGAACATATTCGAAAACTAAATTAATGCGAAATTACAATAGTTACGCTACTTGTCATTACAAACATTAACAATAACAAACAAAAATATTACTTCTATTTGAACAATATTGATGCCTTAAGTATTTGTGTTTATTCATCCATAATCATTAGTATGTTAACGTCGCGTGTCTATGTTTAAGGGAAAGAGTGAAGGAAAGGACATGGAAAACGAAGAGGGAGAGAGGAGACGATACACTTTTTTTTTCTAAGGGTAAATTACGTATTTAGTATCTAAACTATTAGTTTTAATCTGTTTTAGTACCTAATTTTTTTCAAAACTTAACGTTAAATTTTGAACAGTTATATTAAAATGAAACCAAAACTAAATTTTAAGTATGATTTTGAAAAAAACAAAAGTTTAAGTACTAAAACAAACAAAAACTAATAGTTTAGGTACTAAACTCATAATTTACCCATTCCTAATATATGAATTGAGTAAGGTTTACAATTTAGGGTAAAGAACACAAATAGTCCCCCGACTACTGGGTACTATTTTATTAAGTCCCTCGACTATTTAAAGTTACAATATGGCCACTCGACTATTCATTATGTTCCAAATCCATCATATTCCATTAAAAAATAGATGGCATTATGAGCTGAACATTAATTTGTTGACTGTGATATAATAAAATATTTTACCAAAATCTCAAAAGACCATCACATCACGTTCATTATATTAACGTCTATGTTAAACAACCGTCAATTTTTTAACGGAAAATGACGAGTCTGAAACATAATGAATAGTCAGTGACAATTTTTTAACTTTTAATAGTCAAGTGAGTTAATAAAAAAAATACTATATAATTGGGACCATTTTGTGTACTTTACCGTGTATTTTAAAGGTTTAAAATAAAAAATATCAAATATATTAAATGATTAAATTAAATATATTTATAAATCATGCCGGGAATGAAAGCTATTCATTTAAAAAGCATGGGGGTAATTTAATTGGGACTGAATGTGACGTGCAATTTATCGGATTAATCCAATCGTCAAACTCGCCATAAAATGAGCAGTGAGCAATAGCAATCGCCCATTGCATATTTAACATTGTTTTCAAAGTTGAAACTTAAAAGCTTTAGCTTTGCCTTGTCCCTTAGCTACTTGCGCCTTATTATAGAGCTCAAACTTGAGTCATCTCCTCTAATAACAAAAAAATAATCCGAAAATGGTGCTCACAACGGCGACTCCTGCAGCGGAGTACGTGGAATCCAGTACTTTTGCTTCCAGATATGTCCGCGATCCCCTTCCCAGGTATTCTTATTCCATCTCCAACACCCATCCTTTTTTTCATTCTTGTCACTGTGAGCTCCAACTGGGAAAAGAATATCGCAAATCAACGTTAAAAGGGCGCTAGGAACTGACTGAATCTTCGAGTACCCGACATTTTTTTTCATGGGAAACTGGAGATATTTTAAAATATTTACTTTGGTCGGTTGTACTCGAGAAATAAAATATTTTTAAATGTCAGTCAAGGGTGACGACTACTACTATATTTTCTTTTGTAAAATGGTAAGTAGCGGTGGTGATTTGAAGGCGATCGAGATGGATTTACTTTAAGCCTCCAGATATTATCCGGTGGTGTCGAGGAATGACCGGATCGTTCACAATGACCCTCTTCTACCTCGATTCGGTACGGATCCATGCCTGTAATGATTGGAATTGTCCCTAACACGCTGGATCCTGCCATTATTCTCGGCTTGACATTATTTCAAATAAAATATTTACTATGTAAACCTGATATTTTGTATTAATATTTATAATTAAATTTATTTAAAATATATATAAGAGCTGAACTAGATATGGTAATCGAGTATGACGGTTGTGGATATCCCTTCTCCTATATTTATATTCATTTAGTATTTTCATATCACCACCGATCTATTACATACGATGAATAAAAATTTTAAATTCGTATTCGCTCATACGGATATATTCTTAAATTCACCTTTCACACTTTCTACCTAACTGAATACTCACTACTCATCTCATATTTGTCTATACCCGTTTATACCCGTTGATTTGAGATAAGAGAAACAACGATCTTCAATCCTAAAAATGATTATATCTTAATATTTGGTTAAATTATAAATCATGCTTATAAAATCTTAAGATTTACAGAATAATCTTTATAATTATATCTAAATTCATAATAATTCAAAATTCATATGGCATATGGTGGGTAGTTTGTGGGTGTACGGATGGCGGGCGGGACGGGTAAGGTATCAAACCCATCACCTACCCCGCTCACTACCGACTAAACTTTTACTCATCCCACTCCAATTAAAACGAGTATGATGCGAAACTCACGAAATTATACCCGTTTGTAGTCCCTAAACCGAACCGTGGATTGAAATTTTTCATCCAAATCTGACTCGAGTAATGTGTACAGGCATAGCTGATGTTTTGGGAAGTGATGTGAAGGGGTAATGGAAGTACTATGATCACATGGATTGACCTTACCAAATTAACCACATTATCTCATCACCATTACATTCATGGCCCTTTGCTGAAATGGATAAATTGTTGATTTTGCGCCTTAATAAATTTATTAGTTTAGTATGCCCTTTTTGATAAGAAAAATTACTTTTATCCCCTAAAATTATAGTTTTAATTCGACCCTCACTACAATATTTTTGAATTCATTCCTAATTACACGTATAATCACTTTATATTACAGTTGTTGAAGAGTAAAATCACTTTGCAAAAGATGAAATAAATGGATGCAGGTTCAAGATACCAGAAAATTCAATGCCCAAGGATGCAGCCTATCAAATAATAAACGATGAACTGATGCTCGACGGGAATCCAAGGTTGAACTTGGCATCATTTGTGACCACATGGATGGAGCCTGAGTGTGATAAGCTCATGATGGATTCCATAAACAAGAACTATGTCGACATGGATGAATACCCTGTTACCACTGAGCTCCAGGTACCTTATTCTGCTTCTGTAAGAAAAGAAAAAAAACATGTATTAATGCTTTCTGGCCTTCGTTTTATTGAACAAATATTTGCTTTGGCCCTATAGAATCGATGCGTAAACATGATAGCAAACTTATTTAATGCTCCAATCGAGAGCGGCGAGGCGGCAGTTGGTGTCGGGACCGTTGGTTCCTCTGAGGCAATAATGCTTGCAGGCTTAGCCTTTAAAAGAAAGTGGCAGGAAAAGAGAAAATCACAGGGCAAGCCCTATGATAAGCCCAACATAGTCACGGGAGCGAACGTGCAGGTAACCTTTTACGTCTTGCAGCGCCAATGTTGCATTGTTGAATTGATGTGAAATGTTGTTGGAATATGCTACACAGGTTTGCTGGGAGAAGTTTGCGAGGTATTTCGAGGTAGAGCTGAAGGAGGTGAAGCTGAGAGAGGGATATTATGTAATGGACCCTGTGAAAGCGGTTGATATGGTCGATGAGAATACGATATGCGTGGCAGCCATTCTGGGATCGACCCTTACTGGGGAGTTTGAGAATGTGAAGCTCCTTAATGAACTTCTGACCAACAAAAACAATGAAACTGGTTGGGATACCCCAATACATGTGGATGCTGCCAGTGGAGGCTTCATCGCTCCCTTCGTTTACCCTGATCTCGAGTGGGATTTCCGCTTGCCATTAGTTAAAAGCATCAATGTTAGCGGGCACAAGTATGGCCTTGTCTATGCCGGTGTTGGTTGGGTTGTGTGGAGAAGCAAGGAGGATTTGCCCGACGATCTCGTCTTTCACATCAACTACCTTGGATCCGATCAGCCTACTTTCACCTTAAACTTCTCTAAAGGTAACATCTCTGTGCATTCATGTATCACCTTTGTAAGTGAATTATTTTAATATCATTGCAGCAACGTATATTGATGTGTAGGAATAGAGTTCATACGCTTGTATATATGTTAATGATTATCATCTCCTTCTCCCTTGTTGCAGGGTCCAGTCAAATCATAGCTCAATATTATCAGCTTATTCGGCTTGGTTTCGAGGTAAGTTCTACGAAAATTTTGATATAAACTATCAAGGATGTGGAAGTTGTATTTCATTTTTATCTTTGGTCATGGTTCTCTGTTTATATATTTTGTCAATAAAAGGGATACAAGAATATCATGGAAAACTGCATTGGCAATGCAAAAACTCTGAAGGAAGGGATAGAAAGCACAGGACGATTCGAAGTAGTCTCAAAAGACGTCGGCGTTCCCCTGGTGGCTTTTGCTCTGAAAGACAGCAGTAAATACACAGTGTTTCAGATATCCGACAGTTTGAGGAAGTTCGGGTGGATTGTTCCAGCGTATACGATGCCTGCAGATGCTCAACACATCGCTGTCCTGCGTGTGGTCATTAGGGAGGACTTTGGTCGCAGCCTGGCCGAGAGACTTATCTCACATATCAAGGAGGCGTTGAAGGAACTAGACTCACAGCCAAGTCATATCATTATGAAAGATTCCCACGTTGGTGCCGTTGCCGAAGCAGCTGCAGAGGGGAATAAGGGTGGGGAGGAAGCTAAAAGTGCTGAGAGAATGATTCAAGAGAAGGTCACCAAACAATGGAGGAATTTTGTGGAAATTAAGAGGGTAGGTGTGTGTTGAAGAGAGTACGAATCTATGTTCTACCGTATTGTTTGCAGCGTAGTTTGAATAAGTGGATTGTTGGGACTAACTGCTGCATGTTTTACTTTTTTTACATGGTAATCTCTGTTGTGTTTGGATATTATGTTCAAATAAAGCAATGTATGGAATGTGTTTTTATTTATGTTGCTTTGCTGCTATTTACCTGTTTTAGTGAGAAATTTTTTAAGGCATATTTGTGTTTTATGAATTTTCTGGCCTCAGACTTAATGTTTCTAAGAATGAGACGTTTGCTTCTGGATTAAGTTCTGCCCAGCTGAGTATTACTCAAGAGGTCACTGGATTTGAAGTGTGAGTGCTGCCTGTTAGGTACCTTAGGGCCCCTTTAATCACTCGAAAACTATCTGCGAAGGACTGCACAAGTATGTTGGAAAGGATTAAAGAAAAATTAGGCCATTGGGCAAATAAAGGGCTTAGTTATTCAGGAAGAATGAAACTTGTGAGGGTTGTGTTGTTTAGTATGGCCAATTTCTGGTGTACAGTTCTTTTTGCCTGCTGCTATAATAAAGAGGGTAGAGCAACTCTGTTCTCGCTTCTTTTGGAAGGGCAAGGATTCACCGGCCAGGGGTGCCAGAGTAAATTGGAAGTGTTTGTGCCCCTAAATATGAGGGTGGGTTGGGGGTTATGAACTTGGAGTGCTGGAATAAAGCTTGTGGCCTTGAATTTATGAGGAATATTTTTGCAGGGGAAGGATCATTGTGGGTGGCCTAGATTTAGGTGTATGGGCTTAAATGGAAGGACTTTGGCAGGTAAATTGTAAGCCTCACTTTAGCTGGAGTTGAGGAAGTTGTTGAAGCTTAGGGGTGAAGCTAAAACTCTGTTTGACAGAGTAAGTGATTGGGCTGCGGTTAAATTGAGATGGTTGTAGGATAAAATAAGGGAGAAAAGGGATAAAGTTACTTGGCACAGATTGATATGATTTCCTATGAATGTTTCTAGGCATGCCTTCATTGTTTGGATGGCAATTCTGGGCAGATTACCTACTGCTGATCGGTTGCTTAGGATGGGATGCTATCTGGATGGTAATTGCAGTAATTGTGGGGAGGGGTTAGAGTCAAGAAGCCATTTGTTCTTTGGGTGTACCTTCTCTAGGAAAGTTTGGAAGAGTATTATTGAGTTGTGTAGTGTTTGTAAGACTGTTGGAGGATGGGATGAAGAACTGGTATGGGCTATAAGTTTTTTGAAGGGAAAGTCTCTCATTGTGTATATTCTGAAAGTTGCATGGTGTGCTTATAGGCCTGTAAATGAACTGAACGTTTAGCGAACCGTTCATGAACCGTGCGGCGGAAAGTTTATTTATGTGTGTTTATTTATTAAATGAACGAACATGAACAATATTTTGTGTTCGTTTAATTAAATGAACGAACATGAACATAGGTCTCGTTTGTTCATTTACGTTCGTGAACGTTCGGTTATGTTCGGTTATGCTCGTTCGGTTATGTTCGCTTATGCTCATTCATTTATGTTTAACCCAATCTTTTTAAATCAATTTTGGTGACCAATTTGTAAGTATCTTAAAAATATTAATTAATCTGATATTCTGATGACCAATTCCATAATTAACCCAATTTTATTTGGAGATTAAATCCAATATGTTAACCCGTGAGGCACCTCACACCTATATTCATTTCCCCCATTTTTTCCCAACAGAAATGACCATTATTAACAAACCTCACTAAAGTCTGACATTGATGTCACAAAACTTTTAGCCGGCGAATTTATTAGAATAACGTAGTGGAAAATGATTGTTCATATGTAATCATGGACCACTAAGATAAATGTTATATAGTTAAATTAAAGTCGTGTGAATCATTTAATATCTTTAAAAGATCGATCGAAATATTTGATATCTTCAAATATTTCATCACTGCTAATAAGCTCTTACGCTATTTATCACTGTAGATTTAGTTGATTTGCATTGTCGACTATTTTTCATGAAAGAACAATGGAAGGTAGGGTCTCCAACGTTTATGTTCGTTTATGTTCGTGTTCATTTATGTTCGTGTTCGTTTATGTTCGTGTTCGTTTATATTCGTTTATTTATTAAATGAACGATCATGAACAAGTTATATTCCTTAATAAACGAACATGAAGAAAAAAATATGTTCGTTTATGTTCGTGTTCGTTTATGTTCGTTTATTTATTAAATAAACGAACATGAACATACCTCCGTTCGTATGCGTTCGATTCGTTTACAGGCCTATGTGCTTATGTGTACTACATATGGCAAGAAAGGAATTATAGGAGATATAGGGGTTCGAATAGGAGTACAGATAGCATTGTTAGTTGTATAAAGAAGGTAGTTAGAGTGAAGATGCTTAGAGCAAATTTTAAGAGGGACTGTGTGAATCAGGCTCTTTGTATAGCTTGGGGAATTTGATACTCCTTTTGTATTCTTTGTTGTTTCGTAGCACCGTGTTTGCTGCTTCCTGGGTAAATAAAATGGTAAAATTTATCCAAAAGAAATGGTGATAAATTGAGCAACCAGAGCAAATAAATCGTAACCCTTCAAGCCAAGGAACCAATGGTTAAAGTGTTGTTTCGTTCAACTACAACCATTTGATTAGCCATTGCATAAGGCTGGAGCATGTACTTAATAGCCAATCAAAAAGAAATGGGCTCATCTATAGAAGAGATGGTACCCTAAGAAACCAACTTGTATATATGCCTTAGAGACTAGGGTAGCCCCCCTTTTGTGTCAAAATTGCCAATCAAATAGAAATGGGCTCATCTATAGAAGATATGGTACCCTAAGAAACCAACATATGCCTTAGAGATTAGGGTAGGCCTTCTTTTGTGGTAAAATTGGCCTGTGGGCCAAGCGGGTAAAAAATTAACTCATTAGGTCATTTCCAAATTTAATTTGAGATCTACGGTATTTAATACAGTAACTTGGAACTCATCACTTCGATATGATGATTTAATAAAATAATATATTTTATTAGAACTTATCATCTCAACGTGAAGAATTCTAATAAAAATTATATTTTATTAAAACTTGTTACATTAACGTGACGAGTTTAAATAAAAAAATATTATTTGAACAAACTCGTTATGTGAGCGAGACGAGTTCGTCCTGCACTATAACATTTACCGTAGATCAAAAAGAAAATCCATGTTAACCTAACGAGCTAATTGTTTTACCCGCTTGGTTTATGGGGTCAATTCTGCCCTCCTTTAGAAAATTAGGGTGCCAAGTTTATTGGGCTTTGGCTCTCTCAAATCTAAGGGGATGAAACGGTTTAACATCTTATTCCTCTTATAGGGATAGCCGAAAAGAAATTTGAGTTCGAGGCATGTTAATATTTTTTTCTTTCTTGAGAAGATGATTTTATTAATAATTAATTAAACAAATTTAACTTGAGTTATATGTCTTATTAAAAACCTTTTTAAGCTTAACCAGAGAAAAAGAGTACATACAACAGGGAAATGCCAAAAGATCATCAACAAGAAGACAGCCATGAAAAGACTAATATTTGTAAAAGAAAGAATCGAGATTAGAATAAAATCGAATTTAGGATAAAATTATTCTGAATCACGATAATTATAAAAAGACACAATATATTGTCTTTACAATTTGAATATGAATTCTTTTATTAACAATATAATATATCTTATCATTATACCAAATACCCGTTGGTATCTTAATCATTAACTATACAATACTAAGTTTAATTACATAACAACTACTGTATCAACAAGTTTACTGCAGCAGCCATTTCAAGATTCTTGTTAAAATTAAAAATGACTTATCATTCATTTCATTTGACTTCCCTTTTTTCAACTTCTACATATCTTTCTAGCTAGTTGAAGGACATGGGGTTGATCACCTATGTAAAACCATGCATTCTAACAATCAAGCAAATATATATGTGCGTGAGATGTGTAATTATATCATGCATGCATGCATGCAAAGTCACGCATTTCAAATGTACATATGAATCCACGTACATGAAGTTTTTACATTTGTTGGGGGGTGTCTGCAAAGGAATGAAGGACAAGACAGTCGTGAGTAATTTATTCACATGAAAAGTATTGGTTGTTGATCTTAAATAAGGGCATTGTGTAGCAGAGGAGGAGAAGGATTTTCAGGTCTAAATCCCGTTGGTCGTTGTGGAAGACATTAACTTGTTTCTTATGCTTTTGTGGTGTTATGATAATTGAGAAGACGGTCACGAGTAAAATAAATAATATTAAAAATAAAAATATTAAAATATTTAGAAAGAAAAAAGAATAGGGGAGAGATATTCAATAAATATACAATACTATAAGAGAATTGTTTTGAGATTTTAAATGATTACGATGGTTTAGTTTTAACTCTTATTTCTATTATCTATTTATAGCAATAATTACTTTATTATAAAGTAAACTTCTAATCAACATTTGACCAAAGAAATACAAATCTTGTTACAAATTCGATGTGTAATAAGATTTGTACCACGAAACTTTGTCGCCGCATCCCGACAGTCTACTCATATTATATATCATAATATTTTTCTCTTGATTATTTCTTTGTTAATTACATCGTACTATAATTACATCATACTATTCGATGTATAACATAAAATCGATTAATCAATATTTTAACCAAATTACTGTAATTTGCGGCATGATAGAATATATTGAAACTCTTATAAATTCCAGCAATTATGATTTGATCTTTGATAACATCAAAATTTTCAAACTCAATTAACTAGCAGAGGAGAAGCTTAGCAAATTTTTTGAATAGTCTAGTGTGATTATAAAATAATAGTTGTTCAGATCTTGTTTGGTCATTAACAATGTACCCACAGATACAGCTGCTTAAACTCATGACTTCTATAGAAAGAATAACACGAGTTAAACAAATTAATATATGCATGATTTGATGGACTACATAGTCTTAATAAGCATTAAGAAATCACTGAAACTCAATAGTTATATGGTCGATAGATTCAAATCTTATGAATAAAAGAATAATATTAAAAAGACTTTACTTCGTTGAATAATTTGATTCTTCAATTTTGAACATAGTTAAATCTTAAGCAGAATATATAGATAAAGAAATAGAAAGATAACATGAGAGGAATTGCAGTGCAACCTGCTTCATATAAATTCGTTATCGGGCATGTAAATATCACCAGC